GCTTGCTGTGATCCAGTTAGATGAGAACCGCTTGTCGAGGGTAGTGGGAGATACAATGGTAACAGGTTTTTAACTGCATGTATGTGTGCAAGGTCGTGGCTGTCTCGGTGTAATCGAGCCGTTTGTTTGCAACTGTTTATTTAACCCATTGCTGGTAATGAAAGACTGGTAGTTCGGCTGTACCAATGTTCTTTTGTGTGTTGAACCTCAGGGCGTGTCACATTTTCCAGGATCCCTGGGACAAACAATATTGGCAAAATAATCCAAGTCTCCACAAACACATGGTATCATCTGTATTCACTGGTAATTAGTGATTCATAAACACAAAATTATCATATGGGCGGGATCATACTTAAGTTTAGACTTTGGCGATTTCTTATGCTTATATATTTTTATCCATTTTCTTCAAAACATTTGACCAGGTAACACAAGGTACCTTATCGAACATGTAATTACCACTTTAATTAAAATTCATTCCTATCAACAAACGCAGGTTGGAATTCAGGAAAGATTTACACAGGGTGTATGTATAACATCTTTCAAACAATTCTAAATTAAGGACAACATTTAGTGAAATAGAAGACTTGTTATCATAAATTACCAAATGAAACTGAAACAAAACTAGTAAATTAGTTTTAATCATCAAAAGAAACGTATTTAGCGACATCTGTTGAAATTAACCATGAACAGGAAAAAAGGCAATGCACAATTTAGAACATGAAGTCCAGAGATTAATAACTGAAAGTGATAAATGTTTAGCTTTGCTAGTGTGTCCAGTATGTACCGTGCCTCAGCAGACAGGTTACGAAGCAAGAAGACAACACCGATCTATGATGTGGTTCAACATTAACCTGAAGATTCTCTAAGAATGAGCCTGCTGGTACATTGTGATTACCAATGGAACTGGAATATAACTGAACAGCCGCGTTTAAGGCTAGGGAGAAGCCGGGTATTCTGATACGAGAAATCTACATGATTTGACCTGTCAATTTGAAGTTTTCACGAAATCAACACAAGCGTGTGAAAGAAAATTATTGTGACAGTAGTGGCCCTGAAACAGTGGTTTGTGTAAGATTTTCCTAACTGTACATCAAGTTTGATAAGTTGCTATGATCAAGTGAGCTTTGACTTCAGTGATGTCGGGACAATGTTTTCTGCTTTCGAAGGGAGCTAGGAGTGTTTACTGATGGACTTTTAAATCCTCTCCTGCCAAATCCTTACGGTGGTGGAAGACGGAGATTACAATGAATATCGATCACAAAAAGGTTTGTAAACAATATGTTGTCATGAATCAAGTTTCTTCAAACATGTTTTATCATATTGTTTTCACTGTCATTGTCGGTTGTTTCAATGAGGAAAAAGGCTGTTCAAATCTGGTCGCATTTGAATGTCCTTTACAGTTTCATAAACATTTCATTTGTATGGAAAAGATATGCCTTCGTTAATCTTGTAATGTCATCAATGTAGCAGTCAGGGTTTGCGGCCTAGGACGCCAGAAATATCCGGTATCAAACTACCTCTATTAGACGCTAGGCCGTCTATTAATTTCGCCAGAGCCCTTGACTCGGCTTGTATCGGAGACCTGGCTTGCATTTGAGACCAAGCGTGTAGTAGAGGAAATATAGGTAGTTTTACTTTTCATATGGGGTGATCGATCGGCAGCCTTTTTTGATCGATGAATCGATATGTAGGCTATCGATGTATTCATACTTTTGTGTGTAAAACGGCTTAATATATTTGAAGGAAAAGGAAAACACTTTTCAACCAATCAGAATCAAGAATTCATCAATTTCATGGTAGAATTCATTACAAATGTAAAAACTTCAAGCGTAAATTCCCTACCTAACGCACAGGGGCGCTTCACCACCCCCTGACTTAAATTGTCGTTCCGTCTTTGCCAAATCTTAAAAAATATAAACAAAAGTAACAAAAAATACATTTGGATATGGTTATATACAAAATTAACTTCATCAAAAATATATTTCAAATCTACAAGACGGTTGTTGGATGTGAAAGAATAAACAGAGGTCAAGCAACAAAATTGCGCTTTGCGAAACGAAAAGTCTCGACAGACAAATTAGATGAGAAATTTACAGTTTCTTACGAATCATTTTCAACAAAATAACAAACGGTAAGAATCGGTATTAACTACATACATGACAATCTGTCATTATGACTTGTCAACGTTGAACGAACGGACATCAACGGTTTGTGTACGAGCTGTCCGGTGAAGGGCTACATGCTTTGTCAGTCACAAGATGAACTTGACACAAGCCTAGTCGGTCGGCTGATCATTGCGGCTTCGCTTAGCAATAGGTTTGTCGTTGCTTGCAAAACCAAATGCACTTGGTGGGATACGGATATTTATTACCCACATGGTGAAGATACAAGTGGTAAGATACTTAATCCGTACGTAACACGTATGTCGTACAAGGTTAACCTCGTCTTATTCATTTTGATTGGATAACTGTGACCTCTGTGACATAGGGACTACATTTTTTCATTCATAAAAAAAATCACGAGACGTTATTCATTTTGCAACGACAAGGCAGAACTAAGCAATCTCATGAAAGCGAGAGATATTAACAAACACTTTATTAAACCAAACAAGATAGTCACACGCATCAAATTCGGTTTGCATTCTATAATAGTTATACCAGCTTGACTATTGATTTTTCCATCACAAGGGATAAATATTTCAAATCATCATCCATTAAGGATATTTTTAATGGTATTAATCCTCGTTTAATTATTGATTTTTTAAAGGAAATAGAGTTGTTCGAGAAATTTTTATTGATATGGCTTATAAGATATGAATGTTTTAAAATTGGTGGATTAAATAAGCAACTGAGGTTATTAGTGGCAGTATCCTTGTAGGGGGTTTAGGTACTGTAAAATTATTGTCCCCCTGAGAGGATACGTAAGTTCCACATCATTCAAAGAAAATTTAAGCCTACCACGATTTTAATCGTAGTATACTTGTTACTTTTAATTGATGGCTAAACGTGCATACAATCGCCAGCAGCTGAAGGGATGGTATACGACTTAAATCCTACTAGGGTCCATGCAGGAAGCAAAAGTCCCCATGGTCCCTAGTGTGGTGATCTGCCGTCAGTGATTGGCGATCAATAGCCCGTTTTTATCATATATTGTGTATCGTTACATATTTTTATGGTTCCATGCTAGTTATATATTCATATCTGTGATAGTCTAGTTTGTTTTACTGCCCTTTGTTGACAGGTTTTTATAGTGTCAAAATGTCACTATTATTGATGTACAAATCGGTCTCGTCACTATATGGCTGAAATATTGCTGATGTGACGTTAAATCTTAACTCACTCACTCACTCAGACACTATATTAGTTATGCATGGAGCTTCAACAGACATATAATCGAGGTATATCCATTTAGAATGTACGGTCTTCTATCGAGGGTCTCCATGAGCGTGACACACCCAACCACTTTCAATTTGATTTAACGTAAATAGGTACATGTAAGCGTGGTGCCATGAAGTCAGTTTAGACTTATCTGGACAGATATCTAGACTTACTTGGGATGATTTGGCTGTGCCATCAGTGTCCCCTTTGAAGCGTATTTTGTGGCACTGTTTCGGGAGTAATTTGTTGACGACTCCCCGACCAAGGCCCCGTTACACAAAGCGAATGTAGCGCTAAGGCGACCTTAACTCCTATACTTTAACATAGAATTACGACAGTCGTAGCGCTACGATCGTGGAACGGGGCCCTGATCACTAAAAGTAAACATTTCCGATACAAACCATTCGAAAACTCAGTAGAAGTGTGCATGTCTTCAGATTATGTGGCCAAAAACATCCCATTTCCCCTTTTTGTCTTGGAGAAAACGGTATGGATTTTATGATTTACCAACTGTCTCTTCTTCATGTTTCACCCTGTCCTTACACGACTTTTACAAAAAGCAGCCATCTGAACTATTGATAGCATAAGCGTCTGATTATGCCAGCTAATGTTTGAAATGTTTCTTGAGTGGATGTCTCCGCGCTCACTATCCCTGCTGTTAACGACGGCCTGTAAATATTTTGAGTTTGTACCAGGTAAATCCATGATAGATAATTTACGTTCACGATATCGAAAGTGGTCTGACTGCCATGTCGCTTTTATTACGGAGTAGGTTATTGGGGATCTTTTATAAACTCGGAATCCCCAGGCGCTGTTTGCATCCTCCCTGTCCGTGTATAAATTTCTCCATAGAATCATGTGTTCGAGTCAATGTTTTAAGCCTGTGGTTATGTGGAGACTTGCTAATATATTGGAACAAGGATGGGCGTTTTCCATTTTAGTAGCGTTATGAAGTATATTTATCATCGAGCATACTTGTTTCGATCAAAATTATGTCAATGAATTGAGTTGAGTCTGAAATTTAAATCGAATCATCAAACCCCAATGGTGACAAGACAATCATTTTATCTCATTATATTCGCTCAAGATCAATCCTTTTACATCATTGATGGCGTGGCATCTGTCGATTGTTCAAGACGTGCACAATATACTGTTAACGTAAATGTTTGCAGTGATGATGTACCTTTATGTCTGTTTTACTGTGTACATATAAAACGTTTCTAACACAGCAACCAATGTTGTGTTTTCCTCACATTCTACAGATAGCTCTCTTGCCTAGCAGCGACAGTGTTGATTTCGCTTTTGCATGGACACTGTTAGCGGTGGCTCTCTCATCAAATCACAGAACCCAACGAGCCAACCCATGAAGTTGCCATTAGGACAAGCAAAGGTTGCTGGGGATCGGTTATCGGTGGCTTACTTACCACGGCAGTTGTGGGACACAGAGTGTACCTATAGCTCATACGATGTACATGAACAAGAAGACAACCTAAACAAACAGAGCTTCAGCGAGTATCAACACAAACAAGTGATTAAGAACAGAAACGGAGGATCTTGGCCAGACAGCTATTTCTGATTATATGAGAGTGACACCACGAGTGTTGGAATCAAAATCAAAACGCAATGGATGTTTTTAGAGAAATAAAAAGTCTGGAGTTGGTTGTATGTTGTGTGTGTTTGCTGAGTTCTTGCTGTGGGGAGACTGACCCTGTTCGGCGACAGCATCAACAACTGAAACAGCTTCTACTGTCCAATTACTCTAAGACCGTGTCTCCTTACGGAGACACCACTCGTATCAACGCTACAGCATCCTTCACTCTCTCGGCCATACTAGCTGTAGAAGAGACCAGTCAAATATTTCGTATGAGCGGAGTTCTCGACCTGGCTTGGTCGGATTCGTGGTTGACCTGGAACGACAGTAATGATGTTATGATGCTAACGTTTACGCAAGAGGAAATATGGACCCCCAACCTCATTATACCCAACGGTGTTGGAAATAAATTAGCATCCATCTTATCCACCAGTATGACTATTGATGTTACGTCCTCTGGTAAAGTGCTGATGTTACTAATTGGTGAGTTTGAGACAATTTGTGATATTGATGTGAAATGGTATCCCTACGATGAACAAGTGTGTCACATGTCAGTTTTATGTTTGAATGAAGCAAACTTGGATCCGGGTGATCATGACTCCGGGACAATCTTCTCTCAGTATTTTACTGGCAGTAGTGAGTGGGAGCTGGTCAATACGACTACCAACTTGAAAAACATACACACAGAATTATACACTGTTTCATATGTTGACTTTGAGTTCCGACTCCGGCGACACAGCATCTTCTACACCCTCAGCGTCATCTTTCCAATGTGTCTTCTCTCCTTCCTCAACGCCTGTGTATTCCTGCTGCCCGCGGCCTCAGGGGAGAAGGTCTCCTTCCTTGTCTCCATCTTCGTGTCCGAAGCAGTGTTCCTCAACTACGTCAATGACGCTATCCCCAAGTCCGGCAATGCCTCTCGTCTCATCATCTATCTGGTTCTGCTTCTGTCACAGAGCGCCCTGGCTCTGCTCGCCACTCTCCTGGTCATGAACACTCACCATCGCAAGGGGCCGCTGCTTTATTTATTGCGTAAGATCAAGGTCAGCCCAGCAACTGCAGGGACAGAGGCGACTGGTTTCCAGGAAGATGAACTCGTAGACAAACTGGACAATATCTTCTTCGTTGTATTTGTGGCGATAGCTATTGCCTCCCTGCTTTTGTGTTATGTTTGACTTTGACATTGTCGATTTGGATCTTCTTTGTAGTTATTTTGAAATACATTCAGTATACTACTCAAGCCGAATATATATTTATAGGTTTTTGGTCTTGCACCTACAAGTTGTGTCCTGTTTTGAAAAACAAAAGTAACAAAATCGTAAACTGTTTTGTGTACCTCTGAACTGAGAAGGACGTTTATTCCGAGTTTGAGTTTGTATCGGTATCATATTACCCGGCAATGGGTATCCTTTTGTAACTGGAATATTACTGAGTGTGGCGTTAGTAAATATTAGCAAACAAACTGAACAGTCTCGGAACTCTTCAATAAAAAACATAGGTGCATTTCATTAAGATAAAACTACCTTGTAGTCAAGGACCAACCTGTAGGTCCCGTGACCAAATCATGGAAACAAAGGTTTGAAAGTGTTTTTGAGTTTCCTGATGTATACTGAACAATTTTGACTTGGGCTGCCCGGTTGAAAATCCCGGGCATTTTGGGGAAGGGTCAACAAAGGTCAAACAGGGGTCAAAATTCAAAATTGTGTCGATATGCATATCAAATTACTCGTCCAGTCATAAGGAACCTAGAAATATAGTTTGTTATACTTCCGACTTTAAATGGGGTAGCTATGGCCAAAAACGTTGAAAGGTCAACGCACTTTTGGCAGTCAGTGAAATTCACAAACACAGTTAACATTGTCTGATAGTCATGATTTTAGTGTCTAATAATATTTTTTCTGACATGGCAAATTCAACCAAGGGTTACCTTGACCTTGAAAATCGAAAATGGTTGCCATGCTTCAGCAAAGTCATTGGAAACAGGATCCTTGGCCAATAACGCAGCATATGTCAGAATCCATTGTCCAGAAATGCTTACTTGCCAAACGGTATTCACAGCCAGCACTGCCTCAACATCTGAGTGATGCCAGAGCAAACTGCTCTGTAGAATCGGACACAGATTCTAGATTTAAGTGATTGTGACAGTGATTCCGACTCTGCATCTGATCGGTATGACACAGAGTAGGATGATGAACTGTGCACTAAAGTAAGGTTAGAAAAGCATTACTGGACAATGGATTCTGAAATATGCTGCGTTATTGGCCAAGGATCCTGTGACTTTGCTGAAGCATTACAATTCTTCATGCAGCCAACCATTTTCGATTTTCAAGGCCAAGGTAACCCTTTTTACTTTTAAAAGTTGCTTGGTTGAATTTGTCATGTTAGAAAACATATTATTAGACACTAAAATCATGACTATCGGACAATGTTAACTGTGTTTGTGAATTTCACCGACTGCCAAAAGTGCGTTGACCTTTCAATGTTTTTGGCCATAGCTACCCCATTTAAGGTCGGAAGTCGCACCTTTTCGCAAACATCTGATGTCATCACTACTTTTCACAATTTCTGAACACTTGATATGGTCGCACTCGTAGAATGGACACGGATGTCACTTTTATTTCCAAGTTCTAATTTTAGCGGTTACACTATGTGTAACATTCACGATCATTAGTTATCCCCCGCCCCAACGAAGTTGGCGGGAGATATAGAAATGGGTTCCGTCCGTGTGTGCGTGCGTGTGTGCGTCCCGAAATCGTTTCCGGAGCATAACTCAGAAACCGTTAAATATGTCTCTACGAAACTTTGCATGTCTATCAGACTCATGCTGAACTGGTGCCTTTTGCTATTTAGGAATTTTATAATTTTTTATTTTTTACGTTTCCGTGGCAACAAGTTGGACTTAGGTTCTATAAGAGTGCTGTTCGTTTCCGGAGCGTAACTCAAAAACCGTTAAATAATTTCTTACTAAACTTTGCATGTTTACCAGTCACATACTGAACTGGTGCCATTTGATATTAAGGAGTTTTATAATTGTTTATTTTAGAATTTCCATTGCAGCTATTTTGACATGGCCTAAGAGAAACGTTGGGTCAGTTACCTGGTTTTGGACCATAACGTGTTAAAATGGCGGGGATATAGATGACTTCGTCGACTATACGCTTGTTTAATTTATCATGGAATGGTGTTGGCGTTTGCTGTATATTACAACATACATGTGGAATGGAGCAATGCCTTTGATCCCGTTTGTGACATGTATAAAACGTTCATCAACTATCCAGTGGTATTATAACAGTGATTGATGATAGATGAACTGTTATAAAAATATCGAGCAATTAAATTTGGAGAATCGACATCTGATGTGGACATGGCAAACGTTGAATTACGAATTGTTGTATAAGAGCACCAATTACTGCATTTTTAAGATATCATATAATTCTCAAATCATTAACGATGCATCCAACAATAGATATATATCCAATCAACAACATTAGTAATCTATGTTAAAATAGAAAACATGTAAGTCTCCTAAAAGCAAGGCTTGACCAACTTACTGGTACATTAGCATAAAAAGGATATCAATACGGTCTAATCAATGCATTGATGTACGTGGGAAGACCTGGCCAGCATATATGAGTAATAATATACAAAGCAATATGTCATAGAATAGAATAGAATAGATCTTCAGCAGCCCATGCTTGCCGTAAAAGGCGACTATGCTTGTCGTAAGAGGCAACTAACGGGATCGGATGGTCAGACTCGTTAACATCGTATCCCAAATGCATGGATCAATGCTCATGATATCAGCCATATATCATAAAACACTGAACATTGAACCATATATGTAATCCTGACACAGGACACCTCACATTTGAAGTCAGGATTTGTGTGAGTCAGTGTGTTGGGTTTAACGCCGTTTTGAACAGTATTCCAGTTATATCACGGCGTGCCAGCTAGACGTGGGAGGAAAGCCCATAGTGATGCAGGTTTCAAACTTTTATCACCTTGGTGAAACCCACAAGCACGGGTGTGGTGCTGACAAACCTAGAAAGGTAATCGAGGCGAACCGGGCTTCGATCTCACAATCATGTTTTCAATGGACCTAACTCTGCACAGTGAATTGCTGCGCCTTAGACGACTGGGCCACCCATGGACTCAAATCAGAATTTGATCAACAACTGTTTATGCAACGTTGCGAGGGCACCTTTTTAAAACGACGTCCAAGCTAATACTTGATTATCTGTTATTCTATGCATTGAACCAATGACTTGCTTGCACAAAACATGATAATGATGTATGGTGAAACTATACCATTGTCACAATGGATGTTATGTATGGATAGTGCTTGAATAGGATCCGACCCGTGAAGATCCGGGGTAGAATAGGTCTTCTGCAACCCATGCTTGTCGTAAGAGGCGACTAACGGGACCGGGTGGTCAGGCTCGCTGACTTGGTTGATGCATGTCATCGTATCCCAATTGCGTGGATCGATGCACATGATGTCAATCACTGGATTGTCCAATATTTGTATATTTTAATTTTCGGCTAATCGCGTCAACATTCGCCAATAACTAAAGGAATGGTGTAAATCCTGCTAGGGAACCTTGAAGGTAGCTAAGGTACTGTAAGTCCCCTTGGTCCCTAGCATGGTGATCTCTCTTCAGTGGCTGGCGATCTATAGCTCATTTTTATCTTGTATTGTTTCGTATGATGTTATATTTTTATTGCTTACTACTAGTTTTAGACATCATCTGTGATAAATCTAGTTATTTTACTGTCCTTCGTCGACAGGTTTTTATTTCGTATAATTATGTGTATTATTAATGTACTTCTCGTCACGATATGGCTGAAATACTGCCGATGGTACGTTAAATCTTAACTCACTCTCTCACCTAGTATGGTGGCCTAACTTTAGTTGTTGGTGATTAATAGCCTGTTTTTATAATGTGTCGTCTGTTGTAATCAAATCATTTTATTGCTCTAAAACTAGTTTTACACTTATGATCTGTGATATATTGCTGGTTGTTATACTGTCCTTCGTTGACAGCTTTTATATAAATCTAGAATATAACTGCATAACTTGTTCAAGTCACGATATGGCTGAAATATTGCCGATGTGACTTTAAATTAACTCACTCACTCACTCACTCACTTGTCTGGTCCAGACTCGATTATTTACAAACCGCCTTCATATAGCTCGACTATTGCGGCGTATCGAGTGCGGCGTTAAACAACAAACAAACAAACTGTTGAAAGAATTTTAGATCCTCACAATCACCGGGTGTGACCATGTAGACAGAATCTCGTTAGGGTTTGTGATTTTTACATTTGCCCAATGACCATGGTGAGTATTGTTGGGGATACCAAAGGTGACAGTTTACTATTAGAGGAAATTGGTTGTGAGTACTTATACCATTTGGATAGGATATCTTTAGGATTTTAATCCTTTCTTTCTCTGTGGGTAATCCTTTCACGTTGATGGAAGGAAGTCACTCAACCAGGTCATGACAATGGTTATGCGCAAGGCTCGGAATCGCGAAAAGATCACTAGAGGTGTTGATGGAGGCTGGACATGCAGCATACAGCATTTCCAGTGTAGGTTGGCACCTCGTCTTTGTTTCACTCGGTATTTAAAACCTTGACCATTCACAGGTGCATTTGTCTATTTACAATGAAGTTGTTTGGCGTTCCCAGTATTTATGTACTATCTCACTGATTACTTAGTGTATAAATATTATTAATATGGCAAATCGGTTGTAGATATCAATAACTGAATTTATTGTCAAATGATGTACTTTATCATCTAAAAAATAAAATATGGTATTGTATCTATAGCCTTCGTCTCCGTGAACTTTATGCCCATTTTTTAATAATTCGTGAAGATAGGTACAGTTTCGTAACATTTGCATATATAGTCATATTCAGATGATGTCTCTACATATATGTAAGGGCAAGCTTCTTTCCTTTGTTTAGTCAGCAGCTGTCCTCCAGGCTATGAATGTGGAACACAGGCTTCAGGGTTACATATGAATCTTGTTTTCATTGTATTTTAATGCGATTTGAATATCATTATTTACTATCGTACTTACTTCATGTTTTAAATGAGACGTTTTATATTTAGATGTCATCACAAATTACAATTATTGCTTATTGCCCAACACAATTGACAAATACTCTA